ATCGTATTACAATAAATTCAGCAAAGAGAAGGTATTTGGGCTACTGGCATGGCCCAAAGGCCAGCCCACCTGGTGTGGTACAAACGCCAATTCAGAAGTGGCTCCTCACCAATACCGAGGGATAAACCACCATCGTATTACATAGCCTCCCTCCTCTTTCGGGCCTTGTCCCCGGCGCTCCCGCTGGTCAACTTCCCGCGTCAGCCATTACAACGTAGTCGGTGCTGTAGAGCAACACCTGCCAGTCACCAAATTAGAGCGCAACTGAGGCGATACTTGACCCTCTTGGCAGCCTAAATGGATCTGGAGTTTCGTCCGGTTTATGAACTTGATTCAGGACGGGGAATCGCACTGGACATCATGCGTGTCCTTAGATGGATGTAGGAACGGTGGCCTAAAAGTAGATCTGTGTCCCATCCGCAGCGTATGCACTTCTTCCGCTCCACAAAGGTTTATCACGCAGATGTGGGAAATCAGGATACATGTCCTTTAAGATCGGGTTCGCTTTCCGCTGTTACCAATGTAGCGCCCCGAGACTTCCTTGAAGACGAAAGAAGACAAAATACTCGGGCAGAATATATATTCAGCGCAGAGAAGGTGTCTGGGCTATTGGCATAGCCCAAAAGGCCAGTCCACCCAGCGAGGTACAAGAGGGCTAATTCAAAGTACAAAAGTGGCGCCTAACCAATACCGATGGATAAACTACCATCGTATTACACAGGTTTACAAGGCCGATGATTGCAGAATGCCTATAATGACCACACGCTATTCTTGTCAATGAATTTATAGTACATTTTTACTTAATGGGAGAGTTAATAATTAAGCCGTATAGTCTTCTTATTAGTTAGTAACTAAGTTGAATAATAATTAGTTAATGAATAGTTAAGTAGGTATTTGTAGTTGGTTTCCTCTCCCCATGACCGTCGATTATACTGTAGCCTCCCAAGTCTTCTATGTAGTCGTAACAGGCCCAAGTACTGTGGGGGAACGTTCTTAATTAAGGTACCGAATAGAAGGTGGGGAAGAAGGGAAAGTGTTGACAAATAGAGGGCACTTAACCCCAAATTCACAAATCCATCTCGACAACTCTGCTGTATCTGGAGGTCCGACGGATTGGGTAGCTGCCAAAAGAAGACGTCACATTTATTCTTCTGTTAGGAGTCCCCAGAAGTTCTGATATTCATCCCTCCCATGATGGACTTGTATTCAGCCATTGAAGTCAAGATGTTTGTACTTTTAGGTCAGGTTCGATTGCCACTGCTACCGCCGTAGCGTCCCGAGAATTCGACAAAGTCGTGATAAACCAAAGGCGTATACTACTAACAAGCAGAGGGGCTGGGAGGGTATTGGTATGGCCCGTTGATCATGCTGCAGGGCGAAGGTAAATTTTGCAGAGCCTGGACTGTCTGGCGTTGCTTAACAGAATGTCAAATCACAACATTAACTATTTCCGTTTCTATCGTACACTTATTTTCTGCCTGCCTATTCGCTGCGGCCATGGAAACAATCGACACGACCTGTCTTTCGTGAAGTGGAGATGAACACTAACTTAAAGCAGGAATAATGAAAGCACCTTCTACGATAATTACGCGTCTCTACTTATAATAACCTTTCAGGAAAGACAAGTGATTGGAATACATCCCAGAGCATGCAAACCGTCAATCTATTTTTAGGAAGTGGGAGGTCCGTCTCTCCCCAAACAACGTTCCGTAAAGTACTGGAGAGGTTACAGCATTAATTAATTCTGTTTACACCTTGACTGCAAATGACGGACCCCTTCGATGCAACTTTAAACTACAGGGTCATGTATGTATATGTGGAGCGTCCTCTATACGACTGGCTACAAGGTCAATTGGAGACGGAGTTGAACTATTTCCCAATTGTCCAGACCTTCACAACTTGCGTGTCGCACGACTTTCCGCTGAACAAAACAACTGCACTCCTCATAAATCAGCATCTCCTCACAGTGATTAATCGGAGTCTTAGATTCAAAGCCCAAACAAATACACACGATAATAGGTTTGCCTGAAAAAGGTACGACCTTCGAATCAGCAAAAGCTTCCAATCAAACATGATGGAGACAAAGATGCACCACCCTGAGTCGTTCAATAATGTGACTAACCAAATCTGCCCACACACAAGCGGGAAAAACGTTTCAGAATGTAGGCATCAGAAATTTCTCCCATTCACCCTAGTCGCGTCCGCGTTTGCGTGAACCTGGAAAGCGACCGTGAATTCAATACCATTGATCAACTTGACTTTGCAGTAAAATGGAGCTTCCAACATCCTACCATTAATAAAATTGTTCATTCACACCATGACTGCAAGGTTGGCTGGCGGGTTGGATATCAGAGTTCAGTTGAACGTCCAGCTGATCATTCATTTGGCGATCTGTCATGCGTCAAGCGGGGCCCGCATATCGCTCCACACAGCTGCGCACTAAAACACGATGAGTCCTCAACTTTGTTGGGGGTAAAAAAAACTACAACCGGACAGAGGTCCCATGTTATTGTAACAAGGCCACAACTGCGGCCCTACAGATAACATATCGTAACCACAACTTCCGCGCCCAGACACAATCCCAGTGTGTCCACCTTGCAAAAAAGGTCAAAACGTCTGAGGTCACATGACTGTAACAAGATCACAGAACCAAGAGCTGACTGATTTGGGAACCTATCGTTGACACACTTGGGTACACGCCAAGCAGGGGAAATAAACTATTAGAATTAGATTTGATGAAAGGGTGCAGAAGTCCCTTGAACAGCCTGCCACAACCATTCGAACCATCGAGAAGACAGTAGAATGGTATACCACAGGAGGGCGGTTTTATCAAGCTCTCAGCAGGACGCTTCACTGCTACGGAAGAAATACCTTACATCTGTAGTGGAACAGCCACACAAACGATGTGGAGCATGAATCAGAGACCCCAACTTTGCAAATGCACTCAAGTAGAATAATTACAACACATTTCACATATCAGCAATTTATCTAGTCAATCAAGAGCGACTGCGAACACACAAACACCGGAGAAATTAAAACTCCATTCCAAAGTTGTATAACTGTGTGGAGGTATAAGACAGGTACACAACTAAACCCTAAATCTTATGAAAAACCTACTTCGACAAAAAGCGAAAAGACTGGACGATTTACAAACTCGTGTAATGTAAAGAAGGAGGGAGCTACGAAAATGAATGGCTAATTACAAATAAAATGATTTGTCATGCAGTGAGGATACAAAACAGACATGAACGGACAGACGGAGGAAGACTAGTCGAGAATGGTGGAGTAAACAAGGTCCGGCACAGACAAGAGGAGACGTACAACCTGCAAACAGAAAAAGGATAACATTATCATGGGGTAGAACAGCACTTATTCCAGTAGTACATCTGACTACGCAGGCTTTTCCATCTCCTAAAATTCGACTTTCATGCTGACAGAAAGAAAACTTACGCGTCTCCCGTGCCTTAATAATTAACGCCACAGAACCCTCCCGCCTTACAAAACCTCCAGAAAATTGGGCACTACATTACCGTCGTTGTTGCCGATATTGCTACAAATCCAAATTCCAGTATTCATTGGCAAGGAACTACACCAGTTTCGCAGAATGAGAGCACCTGCTGCAGACAGCCGAACTGCTAGATTTAAGACAAAATGTTGAAGTACACCATGGCTAGCAATAAAAACCGGATCCTGGTGAATTTCAACCGGCCTTAAGAACTGTCAAGAACACCAATGCATGATTACGATCAAGAAGTGGGATATTATGGCGCGCCCATCAAGCAAATGTGCCTAGTGAAATGACCGGTACGGGAAATGTGTTAATAGTCGAACATCGACCGGAGTCCGTGACACTTAGGAATTCCGTCCAAATACACAAGCATCAAAGCTAAAATAACTACTAATTGTGAATCACAATCGACTCGATAAAAGACTTGTGACGGCTAAAGCAGGGCAGAGATCAAGAGGAGATAATATGCAGGAAAGAGACGATGAAGCAAACCAGTGCCTATAATCCTAAACCCATTTGTGCCTTTTCCATCTCTTGCGATTCAACTCCCACAATGACAGCATAGAACCATGCTATACAACCATAGTAAGTGCCCGAGCCCCCTTGCACGTTCAGTAAAAACGACATTCGAAAGGACTTGAGTGCTATAACTCCGCCATATGTTATAATTTTGTGCCTAGACTTCATTACAAAAAAGTGCAAAAAGGCCCATTTCACACTACCTATACTGGTCACCACAGCCCTACTTTGAAGTTAATAGTTTTTCAGACTAATGAGAGGTAGGCGTTCCAGAGGTGCAGTTTGTGCAAAAACTTACCGACTGCTGTCCGTTCACCTCATTAGCAGCCTGTGTAAGAGAGGGCTCAGGGCATGAGTGACCGACCAGAGTATATCCAAAGACCTTGGCCAAATTCATCTCCCCCATTCGACATGTCGATGACCTTGAGACGGCCTAAAGCAGAGAAGAGGAGCGTGAATGCCAACATTTAACAATCAATGGAGTGCAATGAGAGAGATACCTTGAGGTGGAGAATGATGAAGGCCAATGTGTCACGATTCGCAATGGGCAATTTGTCCATTAACGTGGCCACTCGATGTTTGGCGCCCTCAGAGTCACGAAGTGACAACTCTGCGGATTCTATAAACTCTGGACGGAGGGCGTACGTGACCAGTGGTTCACTGAGAAGGCGGAGGAAGGCTTTGAGACAGGAGCACACCACGTTGATGTCCTCCACCAACGCAAGACTGGGAGTTGTCCGACCGTGCATAAACTTGTCCAACAATTCTACGATTAATGCCAAATTCTGATGACAAAAAGGCCTTTCGTGAGGTAAAAGTTTAACCTAGTGAACAAACTCACCAAAAACCTTCTTTTCGGCTCCAGGGACACGATATATGCCAACTTGAAGAAGGCCTCTAGCAGCTACCTCGTTAACACAATGAATGACGGGGGCTGGAATTTTAGGAAATTCATTGGGAGGACAGAGGGAAGCAAGAGGGACGGAGTGCCACGAGAAAACCCGGTGCTTGCTCGCGGAGGAAGGGGTCCCGACAGCCGGTGACGCACTGATAATGGACGCGCCCAAACAGCGTCTCGAAAGGGCGGTAGACAGTGGGGTGAGCGGGGGTTCACCAGCTCGGTTAGGTGATGAATGGATGTCCGTTGGAGGTACACAGCGCTGCTTTAGCTGGAGAAGAGATAGAGTTTGGCATAAACTCTAGTAATTTAGTGAACGATAAGAATGTAAGCTGAGTCACGTACCCGATTCTGACAGTTCTCGTGGACGACAAGTCTGCAGATTTTGCAGCGAAGAGCAGGCCTGCCTAAGGCAAAACGTTTGCCACAGCATCCGCACATTTGAAGGCGTAGCGAAGAAATAGACACGAACTGGTGAAGACGAGTCAAACGATTACCCGTCGTCTGTTAAGATAGATAACTTCCAATCATTCACAGGGGCCAAGTAGACAACGAAGCCAAATGGGAGAGAAAGCGTACCGTTGGCCGAACAGGCGTCCTAAAACTGCTGGTGTCTAAATGTGAGGTGGAATCAACCGTCTCATGTGCACTACAAATACCCTCCGTTACACCATCTGACTCCAGCTTAGCCTCATCAAATGCAATTCTTTTAAATGCAATGTCATGGTAACTGCTAGCAGAGTCTGACGAAATTCGCTTTCGAGAAATCACAGATTTCGTCAAGGAAAAAGCCGGCTAAAATAAGAAAGACAAGATAATTTCCTCAGTGGAATGCAGGTAACAGAAAGAAAGGCGCTTACATGGTCATTGGACGATGACGGTTTTAGATTCTTGCCAGCGCTAAGTCGCGCCGAACGTCGAAGAATGCCTCCGACAGGATGAGACCTTTTGCGGCCAGCCGAAGCTCTGGAAAGTAAAACAAACCGCTTAGATTTTGCGCACCTCACGGTAAAAATAGTGTGTAGATCGATTACTTTGGGCTCTTCAACTCAACATCAGAGTCTCCAGAAGAAGCATTTTCGGAATCAAGCAGGGACCCAGCGGAATGGTCAATACGGCCATTTACACACCGACCTGGTGTTGGAGAACGCATCCAACCGCATTCTTCGAGCTGGACAAGACGCTCCTTTGCTTTGTCAATATCATTGTCACGGAGGACCTCGCGGATAACCTCAAGCTGTCGCTGGAGACGCTGCGCTTCTTCGCCTAGCTGGCGATTTTGCTCCTCTACATGATCCAGTCTACCGTACAAGGTTTCCTTGAAAAAAAAAACTAGGTGGATGCCAAAAAGCTTCGAATAAATGGTGAATAAGATGCAGACCATACCCTCTCTTTAAGCAGCTTTTCCCTTTCAATGCGAAGCGACTCGCAATCCTTCGCATACTTCATGGCCCTTTTTTCGAGAAACAAATACAGGCTTTTGGAAGCTTTATCTGAAACATCGGCTGAGTCCAAAAGCTAGGAACAAAAAACAAAGAAAAAGCATAACTAAGGGATCAACATAGTTCGAAACACTGGACAACCCCAGTGGACAGCTATGTTGCATCACTTGGAATGAACGAAGTAAAAGTAAGCAACGTTCTGAAAATGGAATACCTTGAGGACAAGAGAACTTAGGATCTCTAGAGAAGTAATGCAGCTCGACTTAGTAACCTGCTTCTGCCGGCACTTAGAACGCGCCATATAAACGTATACTCAAAGTTTTGACTAGCACAACTCACAAGAACTGTCAATGAAGTTAAACAAAACGAAATTGCCATGTGCATGATTTTGGAATTCAAGGTTGACTATAATTGTGTGTAGATATAAAAATATCGTTTAACTTTTCAAATTATATTCATATATTTAAAAGAACTTTCGATAATTACTGAGCCATACCCGTGGAGCTTAGATAAATTTAATAAGCCTATGTTGTACTTCCTCTCACTTTTCCACATGAAAACAAAGGTTTTCTTTAGTAATTAAACGTTTATTAGGTATTAAAAGCTGCATTGGCGGCAGTGTCAAGCAAATTCATCCAAAGATAAAACCATATTTCTCTACCATTTTTTTAGGTGTCTAAATTTACAGAAGAATTGCACATGTCGCTGACGACTGAATTTGCAAAGATTGTGGCAGAATCGTCATTGCCATCTCTTCTTTAAGAGCTGCCACAGCCCTTCTTTCCCAAGAAGGCTTTACACATGAAACCTTATTTTAAGTCCAAAGTGCACCGTAATGTTACTCCAAGTACAATTAATACGCAAATTGCACAGTCTTTCTTCAACACATTTCAATGTTCTTTCACTGCAATCCTTAGGCTAATCTAACACCACTGAACTTAGCATCCTTCCCTTCCGTGTCTAATATTCTGACCCTTTGCTATTTTAAACCCTTGACTACGGAATAATGGCGAACCAACCGCGTCAGTCATCAAATCTGAGTGCAAATGAGACGATATATGACCGTCACGTCACTGATCCCTCTTGGCACTTCGCCTGCATTTAGAGTTACTTCCTGTTTAGGAACTTCATTGAGGGAAGGGGAAATGTGGTATGTCCATAGCTATTCGTAAGGATACTGGCTACAGGACCATATAAAGAGAGATTGAGTATACAATGGTTTGTTGGGGAAAGTGTTTGGCGTCTATTCCTCCTTGCCAGTTTGTTCTCACTACAATGATGCTCAGTTACGCCTGTCTGCGTTCTATCCAGCTAGCAGAAGCGTGGAGGAGGTATCGCTTGTTAACTTAATTGACATCTTTATATCAGCACCGTAGACAGCGTCGCAACAAACTTCCCCAGAAAGTTCAAGGGTGGCGTAGCTTCAGTTGGTAACAGCTTTCTTTTAGGACGCGGGATTGGGGTAGTTGCTGAACGAAAGTATTCAATGTCCCTTTGAATGGCAGTCAAATGATTCACTTATTTCCAAAGTATGATTTAAGGTTTAGTGAATTCTCATGAAAATGACGAGACCTCGTACCAATTTTAATTGAGGATTCAACAGATTTTTTTAAGTTTAGTGGCAGAACTTCATCTCAATTTGCCCAAACACAACGGTTGGAATCAGTTAATTAAAACAAATTGGTTGTGGAGATCGCGCACAACCATTTCGGGCACTAATCACGCTACCCACATGACAAAAGCAAGTAAGAGCAGATTCTGTTCTTGGCCAAATTCATCCCACCAAGAGCAAAACTCATAAGTTTGCACTAATGTGGCTGTAAACAAAGCAAACCAATGCGTTATGGACGCAATTTAATGTGAGAATGACTTTTCACTAGATCATACAGCCTAGAAAGCATAAAGGACTGCACATTGGATTTGAAGAGGTTTGTCTGTTTTGAGAGCAGATGGCTACCATGGGAGAAGTATAAGAATAGGCTACCATCATCCATATGGATGCTTGTCTGAGAACAAGCAAAAGAGCGCATGCGCGCTTACTGACATGGGCGATGCAACCACCAACCAACCTGATGTTTAGCTGAACTTGAGGGAAACTACACGCGCTACTGACTTCGCCTAGCTACGATCTGAAATGGATGCACGTTAAAACCCACTGAGAGCATTCCATTGGTAGGTGTAAGGACCCACATTTAAAAAGGCAGTCAAAATGTGATCAATACAGTCTTTGCTGAAATTGTTCGTCGCCATACTAACAACTAACTCGTAAGGTAAAGCTATCACTCCATAAAAGGTCACAAAATATTGCAGTAATTATGCCATAAATAAGCATTTCATGGTTGTGGGTTTCTAATCCAAGGGCTCTAGATTAGCTCTTAACAACAAAGTGGTTCTAAGTAAAGAGTCCAGCTACTGAAGCTCAGATCATAAAATGCCACTACGACCGAAGACAGCTAAATTAAAGGATAAATTATCTTCTACTTAACCTAAACGCCTCGACCATCACAAGAAATACAGCGTATTTTATGTGAAATCCACAGTCTACCCACAGCGAATACGCACTAAAACACTTGAAATTGCCTTTCTATTTCGTGGAATCATAGCACCTGCGAGCAAAGACTACCGTTCATGTTGTGCTGTGAATACAGGAATGGATGAAGATGTCTGTAATGCTACTGAAGTAAACTGTACACAGAAAGTTAACAAGCCTTGAAGCACTCTAGACTGCACAAAGAGCGCCCAGTTCGAGCACATGCGTATCGACGCGGCGCCGCATGGCACTGCTCGCAAAGCCGAAGTTTTGGAGGAGGTGGAGCAAGTTGAGAACGAAGCAACAGGTGGTTCTCTCCTACCTCTCCTTGTCCTGCGGGCAAAGCGATGAGACAATGGGGCTGAAGGCGCAGAGAAGAGATGAAACGCACGCTGCCAAGTGGAGGATCCAGCGGTAGGGATGGGTGTAGTGCATTCCTTTTCTTCTTCTTCTTCTCGCCCTCTGAGTCCTCCGAATCGGCTGCCGCTTCAGCGGTAAGAGCCACGCGGCGCGATCGACCACGACTTCCGCCGCCGTTGCCCGAACCGCCGGCGTATTCTGTGTTAACACGCAGGAGGCGCTCCACAGTGTCCTGCATCTCCTTCTCCGCCTTATTTTTCGCCGACTCTCGTCGACGCTCAATCCGACGTTGACGAATTTCCAACTGCTCGGGAGTGAGAGCAGTGGTGGTGGTGATAGCGTTTTGATCCGTGGCCTTCTCGGAGGATACCATTATATCCTCAAGGGTCCAGAGGGAACTCTGAGAGCTCTGATAGCCCAGGCGCGTTCTGCTACGAGAGGCGGGGACTAGAGTGGGCACAACGATTGATTCGCTGTCACTATCACTACTGTTAGTGTAGGCATCCGTGACGCGGGCTGGTGGTCGTCGACTCTGACGAACTGGACGACTTTTCCTCGTAGTGATAACCTGCCGCTTCAGGGAAACCTTCTTTAGGGGAGCTGGTCGCTTTTTTCTTCTTTTTACCAATATAGAACGAGTTGTACTTTCAGGTGAGTCATCCGAGAGTACCTCCTGAGAAAACATTGGGTATTGAGGGCAATCATGCTATGGTGGACCCAAACTAAAGTAATAGTGAAAGAAGGTCAACTCACATAATTGTCGTCGTCATATTCATCCATCTCCAGGAATCTAGAACCAAAGTCATCTGTCGCAGGAAGGGTGGTGTCGCTGTCCATTTTCAAGACCGACAAAGACTAGGAAACCTAAATTTCAGAGCAATAACCACGATGATGAACACTAAAAGCAAGCGACAGCATTGAAAAAAAACAGGCGCATTAGCAAATATGAGATGCAGGTAAAAGTTATGAAAAAGCTTAAAATAAGAAAATGCAAAACCAGTAGATTAAAGTGCCGACCTAACGGTAATGCAATGCCTTTTCCAACTTTAATTTGGTGTATAAAAGGCCATATACCCCAAATACGCTGACAGCTAAGGCTGGTTTAAATACTAATTTGGTAAGGCGCATATTCACAGACCACACGCACGTAAGTTGCTCACCTCAATTGCGACTAGTCCAATGATGGAAAAGCGCAAAAACCCCCGCACCGCACACACCGTTTTAGACTGCGCGGCTCTGATGACCGCAACTTACCTCCTCTTATCTCGTTTGTTTTCAATGCTAGAAAATAAAATCCTATTAATGCACGCTTGTTACCTTAGAAGACCTAAAATTGCCATGCATTCCTTTGGTGTAAACTTGCCTGCTCCTGCTAGATAAATGCTCCTCGATGATGCGGACTGGTGGAGGGTCACATTATTAGCATAATTACATACCTTGTTTAAAAAACCCCTCTTTACCGCATTCTTGCCTCTGCTAGTTCCCAGACGCATCTGCTAAATTCCGAAGAGGAAATGATGGCGCCTTTGCCCCCGATCTACACCCCCTGCTAACTGCCCACCGACTTTTCCTCGACAGGGACATCTGATCACCCCAGCATATCCCAGTCCAGCTTCCCAAAAAGTCCACACTAGGCACTTTCACAAAAGAGGACGCGGCAGCTCCCATACGAACGCCGGGAACACACCAAGCCTACTCGCCAATTCGAAACTACGGATGAAAATGTAAAAATCTCTACAAAATGCTGAGAGGATACAGAAGGGAAGAGTAACCCTCAGTAAGGGACAGAGCTGATGAGGAGCGGTAGATCGGGATTCGTGAAGTCCCATCGCGACGCCTCCAGGAAGCTGAAGCACTCATCAATGTCCTGCACGTGTCGAGGCCGATCATATGCCGCCGACAGCGAAGACGGTTCTGAGGAAGAGAAAAAAAAGAATGTGAAATTAGTAACTTTTACAACTTTCCATGGGGGGAACCCCACAAAATCTGCCGAGCAAAGCGAACAGGCTTATCCAAATGTGCATGTTTGCCTACTTAATGTGAGCACCCAAAAAATTAATAAGCAGGCCAAACTGACGCAACGTTTTATCATAAGTTGCTGATAGATGAAACGCACAATCGGTGGAAGGGTGCAAGGGAAAACACGTTCGCTACCAAATCCTCAAAAAAAAATACCGCGACGTGGATTTTCTACCATCCTCATTCCTTTGTCTTACGCCCAACCAATTCTTCCGAACACGATTTAGTTCAACCACAATTGTTATGAGCGAAAAAAACCATCAAATAATTGTAACGGATGCAGGCTCGGAAAAGGGAACTGGAACTCCGCATGTGTAATGGTGGTAACGAAAGTCAGAATAAACTACGAGAGTTTAATATATAAGTGGCAAAGAGTGACCGGATACAAAAACGTATGAGTGTGGCTTACCGGGTGTGTGTTCGTAGAGCGGGTCCTCAGCCCCGTTGGCAGCAGCGGCAGCAGCAGCGAAGACACCGTCATAGGAAGAGGCGAGAGTAGCAGCTGCCGCGGCAATCGACTGCTCCCCTGCACCTTCGCCCCCGACACCGCCTCCTGCTCCACCACCTGCGTAGCTGTAGTGTGCAAAGTGCGCCGCGTAGTACTGTTGGTAGTATTGCTGGTAAGCTTGATAGTACTCCGCCTGAGCCTGTGAACTGCCACTCACCGCAGCGGCCACTGCTGCTGTGAAGGGGTCCGGCATGCCTCAAAGTAAATGGGATAAAGATATCTCTAGACATTCCGCTTTGCCTCGTGTTACAGCTTCTTTCAGCATTTCGTACAATGGCATCACTCCTGCAGAAGACTATAGCATGTCTCCAGGCTTGAGCAAGCAGACGAAAGGTATTTAAGGTCTCTCTGCCTTATATTCTAAGCAAACTCATAGATCTATTGCTGGTAGCTCCCACCCGCAATTTGCACGCTTTTATCCGGCGTGAAACAATGATGTCTAGAGGCATTCTACCTTCCCCTATATTTGGTTTTACTGAGATGGAAACCTGAAAGAAAGCTCGAATCAAAAGTGTACAAGGTTTAAACTGGCAGCCATTATCTTCAAGTGGATCTAAATAAAGTTATGACTCATAACACAGACAAAGGTTAAGTTAAAGTAGACATCACGAAGACAATGTCGTCTAACTTAAAAACCGAAGTAAATAATCAAATCATCAAGAAAACAAACTCTTTTTCATTTACCTCTACGCATACCATTGATCTTTCAACTCGATCGAAGCCTTAACGCGATTAGTAATACCTTTTTTATTCATGAAATACAGAAATAAATGATACGCAAATTACCACTTGGCAGGAGAGAGGACGAGGAAGCCGCAGCGGCCTGTTCATCTTTGGCCGCTTGGATGAGTTGCCCATCAGCCGTGTAGCGCTTGGGAATGGCCAAACTCACACGAATAGGCTTGTAGCCCAGGCCCGAATAGTTCTGCATTTCTATCAATGCCCTGTCCTGATCTGCCTCCGAGGCGAATCGAACGAAACCGTAGCCCCTACTCTTTCCGTTGTTCATCACAACTACGAAAAGTGGAAGTACAGGAAGTTTTCTACGCAATTAAATTATATTCATGTACAACTCTGAATATATACCCCTGTTCAGTCACCCAGAGTTTAAACACCATGCCAATGGCATAAAACCGCCTTACTACTTTCCCGATCTAATTGTCCGCCGATAGAAAGGCTGCCTAATAGCGTTTTCAGTTGTTACATTTAGCATTAACGGTCAACAAAATTGACCTTATAAGGAAAAGTTGCAAACAGATGAATGCATAGAGCGGTAGAACGGGAATATCAAATCCTAATAAAGATATTAGTACTATGAAATGAAACCGCACAACACACTTACCCTTGGCAGAACGACAGGAGGGATATTTTTTGAAAGCGTTAAATAGGATAAGATCATCCACATCTTCTGTCAGCTCGCCGACAAAAAGGGAAAACTCTCTAAAAAATGAGTAGTCATTAGACCATCCTACCCGGCAGAACTGTCCTTGCCATAACTTGCATGATTTAATTTGAAACGACGAGTCTGAAAAATTCCCAATCAGGAAACAAAGCGAACAAGTTTTTTTCTGATAAGTTAAAGAAATCATTACAGGAATTCCTGGAATCGGTTTCCCATTTAACTTCAACATTGCATCACGAGCGGCAATACCATCCAAGAACTCCACAAAACCATAACCAAGTGTTTGACCTGTCGCTTTATTGCGTATAATCTTGACGCTTACGACCTTTTCATCGTGAAATTCAAAGGCTTGACGAATGAAAGTTTCATCCATAAAGGGTTCCAACTAGATAAATGCTTAATTAAGGACTGCATACTTACATCGCCCATCCATATCGTATGAGAAAAGTTCTGCATTTTCTGAGGCAAGAAAGCCTACAATAGATCAAGATGTTAAAAACCCGAAGTATGAAGCTTGAAATTAGTATTCGGAGGAAAAATTGAAAATTGATCTAGAAAGACGTGCAAAGGGACGCACCCGATTTCAGCATTGCCAATATGTCTGCAGTGTGCTGTTAATAAAATACTGTTGCGACGAAAGTTACGGGAAAAAAAGAGCAGGACATGTAGTATATTGGGGCTTATATTCGTGAAAACGTAAAAACATCTACCGATTAAGGAAGACCGTCAAATAAAAGGAGGGAGTAGATTCGCATACATTAATGTGTACTTTTAAATACAGCTTCTACACGCACTGACATTGCTGCGGATAACTACTTAGGGAACTCACAGAAAAAGCGGCGAACAAAAACCGTGAAGCCTGCAACCTACCACACCCGCTTCTGAAAACCCGCATTAGAACAACACAGCAGCACAAATTGACAACAAAAACCCTGAGTAACCATAGTAAAATTCGCAAAAAATACTCTTCAAAAAAATATCCAAAATTTGTTTGCGCAGGTAAATGGCAGTTTTGCATATGTAAGGATATGGTTCCGCTACTGTTTCTCCTTGCCACATATTTCGCACTTCAGAGCTAAACAGTTATAATTGGCTTGATTGCATTCAGCTATAGAAGAGATGGAATTGGCAACCCGAATTCACACTATCGATACCTGTATATGGGTTCAGGAGGCTTTTGGTTCGGCTTCTTCTTCCTTCTGAGGTATTTACGGAAATCGGATGGCATTTCTAGCCTATCTCCACAGGTTTGTTTTTGGTTCTCCTATCCAAAGCGTGCGCGCTACTTATTATGCAAAGACTCATCATTCGGTAGTGGAAGATTGAGGGATAGTAGCTTAAGATAGGGTCTGCGTTCCGCTACCGTCAACACTGCGACCCATGACCTATTTAAAGACGAACAAATCCCTTATACTTAGTTATAATATATGTTTTAGTACACAGAATTGGTTGGGGCTACTGGCATGGCCCAAAAACCAGCTCACCTGGCAAAGCTCTGGTAGCCAAGACATAAAGTGGCCTTTTTCTTAAACCGGGGTGTAAATAGGCAAAGCATTACTGTAATACAATAGCGGTTTATCCCTCGGCATTGGTGAGGCGCCACTTTTGTACTTTGAACTAGCCCCCTTGTACCCCGCTGGGTGGGCTGGCCTTTTGGGTCGTGCCAATAGCCCAGTCACCTTCTCTGCGCTGAATGTATATTCTGCCCGCGTATTTTGTCTTCTTTCGTCTTCAGGGAGTCCCGGGATGCTACATTACTTTGTGCTTAAAAACTATACAAAAGGACATGGTTGAAGTATTTTTGGCAATTGCTGCCTTCTAGTGCATCCTGTTTGCAAAAACTAGCGTAAAATACTTTTACAGAATCAGCTGTACTATTTGTAAGGAATAAACGACTGGTAAGCATCAAACCGCCCAGTGAATTAGTAGGGGAAAAATTAAATGAAACTTAGTAGGTTTTGAAATTAAAATCGAAAATACTCCATGATTTGCGTTTCACCCTACAAGAGCTCCCTAAAAGTAAAGTGAATACTTCATCCTGCAAACTCTAGTGATTTAATATTTTTGCTTTACAGAATCCGACCTTGACAATGTTTAGGCTATGCCCCTTTTCTATCCCGCTATGGTTAATTATTCGCCGCAAATTCTATTACTCGGCTAACCCAAAATGTAAAATATTCGCAGATAAAGGAATTCGACTCCCAAATTATGCGACCGGGAAAAAGGAGTCCATTCCAGAGCGTCCAATCATACACAGTAGCGAGTCTATTAAAGATTTACAGGTGGCCGGGTTAATCGCTCGCAAGATCCTTGCAGAAATGGGGTCATTCATCCAACCCGGAATTTCAACCTTTGATGTGGAAACGTTTGTAGTGGAAAAGTGCCTGGAATACTCTGTGTACCCTTCGTCACTTGCATACGAAGAGTTCCCCGGGTAAATTTAACGATTTATATTGTTGACCTTGTACCCGGCACGTAGGGGATTTGTGTAGTCATGGCTCTTAGTCCATCTTGCCAAGCCGAGTAGTTTGCCTCCTTGCTTGAGAAATTATTCCTTTTTAATACTAAAGTAGACTGGCTTCCGTTCAAATACACATTTTTTTCCTAGCTGTGTGTGCACATCTCTTAACGAAGTGGCGATCCACGGAATTCCATCCCCCAATGACGTGCTACAGTCTGGAGATCTGTTATCTGTGGACGTAACTGTCTTCACAGGAACGGCGCACGGCGACGCCTGCGAGACCTTCTTGGTTGTGGATAGAGATTCCCACTCATCGGAACTATACGCTTCCCAGGAGCATCTTCTCAGCTGCGCCAAACGTGCATGCGAGGCGGGTATAGCAGCCTGCGCTCCCGGTTCCAAGTTCTCTACCATCTCGAAGGCAATTTCCCAAGAAGTCTTCGAGGGCAGATGTCGAGTTATCGCGGGAATTGGAGGTCACGGCATTGGAGACTTCTTCCACGGCCCACCGTACGTGCCTCACTGCGTCTTTGAGGAAGGATCTGCTGATGTCGAACTACAGATGCTTCCTGGGCACGTCTTCACTATTGAACCGGCCGTTGCTGCTGCCGCCAGTGCGCCTTATCTTGACGCGGTGGCGCAATACGTGGCGATGCCAGTGGTATCAAAGGGGGACGGGTGGTCTGTTCGCACGTCGGATGGCGTACTCACCGCTCAATTTGAGGAAACGGTCCTCATAACAGACAATGGTGTCCGTGTTTTAACTCGATAGCGCAACCCAATAAAGTCCCGAGATTGTATTGCAGTTCCCTGAGCGGTGACCTCCTCGAGTTTGCTCATGGATCGCCTACGGTGATTCATATCAGCTCGCTGGGAGAATACTTTTAGCACACAGGCTACAAGGCATGAACAGCATTCGAGCGAACCCGACTTCCGAGGAGTCAGACTTTTTCCGGTGTCCATTTACAATTACGACGCGCAGCCTCCGCGCGCGGCATTCCTCAGCTTCTTACTGGTCGAAAGAACACTATTTCCTAGTACTCGGGTGGAGAGGGGACAGTCGGAAGGTATCAACGGGCGAAGACTCACGGCTTTCCCTGGGGAGCAAGCGGGCGGCCCGCGCAGCAAAAGGTAGAGGTTCTTCAGTCGTGGGCCCGCCCCGCTAATGTGGTTGATCAGCGTCACAGCAAACGACAACACTCCACTTCGCCAGCCCCCAAGTAGCACCCACCCGGAATTAGACGCACAACTTTAGCCTAACAGGTTCACAGATCCCGGCAACACTGGAGCCAGACTACACAGTGCCGCACACCACCCCCCGTTAGGCCCATTCAACTGCAGTGACCCCAAATACTCGTCGGTTGATCATTCCAGTGGTCGAGACGGCAGCACCACACCGATGGGCGCCTCCAGTTAGCCAATCCACCGAAGAATTTAAGCACAACCGAAAGACAAAACCCGTCCTCCGCAAAACTGGCATCCCCCACCTACCTCACTGCGCCTAACCACCAGTTAATTAGACGAAACATTGGTAATTTATTATCAATCAAAGCACGTAAAGAACACTGAGGGTTCCGTCAACGCACAATTCCGATAAAGCCTGATACAGAATAACCGCGTTCCAAAACGGAACTTTCTTTGCACCAAGGTCTGAAGCCATCTTTGCCATACTAGGGTATTACAAAAAAACAAGCATTATACTTAAACAGTGTCATTTCAACCACCCGGAATTGCGGAGTAGTTAAAATGTTAATTTAGGAGACGGGGTGGTCCTGAAGAGCTACTCTTCAGAATACAATAAGTCTCCTCATAAAATAAGGTAGAACATAATCTCGTAAGATGTACAACCCGTATCTGTACAGTCCTATTCTACACCGGACTGCTCGATGAAGGTGGCGACTCAGTCTTCGGGGGCCATGTACACTGCTACACTCACATAACAGCGGTAAATGTCCCCGATGTTGGAGGGAAGAAATGACGGCAAAAGCGCAACCCAGGCACCCATGGAACACGGAGCAAGATGCTTGCAAACAACTCCGGGAAGAACACCCACGGCGGGAAAACTTCACGCCAATTCGCCCAAGCTGTGCGGGCAAGCGTGCCACTCGACACACTCAAACAAATTTCGTTTTTCTTAGCAAAAGCTGTATTTCTACGCATCGACAGCTTGTGAAAAAAAGTCTACCTAATACTATTTTGATTGGTAACCAGCTATCATAACATTGCTTGTTAGGTTTAACAATGACAAAGATGGGGAAGATAAAAATGTTATTGAATTGGAAGGAATGATGTTTTCATTTCACTGAAATATTCATTTGTGTAAAATAAAAACACTTTTGACTGCAACATGTCAATCGTTTCTCTAAAATGTAATAATAACAAGCATTGACGATATTTTTGGAAAGTTTTCAGTAAGGGATGACTTAGGTCTCACGTACTAAACTTACGTTTGGCTATCCTCTATTTCATGAATATGTCTTGGAACATATCCCTATAACTTCTTTTAAATTTAGGGAAGGCTCAGAGTGCTACATTGATGGCAGCAACTAGCGATCCCCAGCCTGAGAAAATAATGTACTGATTTCCACCGCTAAGTGCTTGGAATTAATGTAAAGACAAAAAAGTGTTCCGGATGAGCGAACATGATGACTCCTTCGATAAGGGTTGGTAATGAAATCCACCTCCAGCAACTACTTTAGCTACCTGTTCTGCGAAACTGCTAATAATAATTGAAGTGGCACCAGCCACGGACTGGCCCAACAAGTTCGACACGACGCTGCCACTGGTACCTGTACAAAGCTGCAAACCAAGTGATTGTAGCGTCCCGAGACTCCCTGAAGACGAAAGAAGGCACAATACTCATGCAGAATATATATATTTAGCACGGAGAAGGTGTCTGGGCTATTGGCATGGCCCAAGAGGCCAGCCCACCCAGCGAGGTACAAGGGGGCGCATTCAAAGTCCACAAGTGGCGCCTCACCAGAACCGAGGGATAAACCACTATCGTATTACATGATCATGTGATACAACCTCCACGTCTGCACTATCTAGGTAGAACCCCGACAGATGTGACTGGGTAGAACTGAAGTAAGAACAAACTCGTAAAGTGAAACAGACGCGAAACATTTTCTTCAGAAAACTATTTTAGAAAGCATCTCTTATCATATGACCGCCTTGTCGCCATCGTTCTTACTACTTGCAGTGGACATACGGATGGCCACCACAACTCTACTTCCCTCAATAAAGATCTTATGCAGGACATAACTCTAAATGCAGTAGGATTGCAAAGAGTTACCAGTGGCATTGAGGTCAAATATCTTCTCATTTACACGCAAAGTCATTAAATGGCGAGGCTGTTATGCGTGGTTGGATTTCTGAGAGCACCGCCCACGTTGGGAAGGTCAGTGAGGAAAAGTGATCCAGACAACATCGAGGACGCTCCTCACATCATTATTAGCTGCCCGTTTTTATGATTGAGGCTGCGATTTTCAACTAGTATTCCCCCTCTTAGCCGAACCACTTTCGGGGAAAATAAATGGAAGGGCTAAACTTCCCTTCATCAATCTCCTGTAATTGGAGCATTAGCCCTCGAGTACTTACAACATAATTCTTAATTACGGCAACATGATAGGCAATTCCGACGTTCGAATGTAGTGTCTATACTGTTTTCGGGATCTTTGCTTACTTATAGATAGCGCCGACTACAACGTTGTTGAGTTGCGACCGAGGGAAGGGATCTGCCTGATTGACATATATGAATACAATTATTTCATGAAAATCATTTGGTAGAATGAGCATCAAATGAATTATTTTAACGGTCAGAATGAGTAGATTTGTAAACCTCCATTCCTTTTCACCTTAGATTATCTCCGTTTGGTGGTCTACCTGTCTTAAGGACCTTTGACCACTGACTTTTATACACTAACAAACACTGGATAATCTACCACCGCCTTGCATACATCGGGACCTGGTTTTTATAAACTCGCGTGTGCATAAGTAGTAGGCCCCCACACCTGCATCCCATTGTCCTACTTACACTATGCTGGTCAGACACAGCTCGCTCTGCCTCACCCTCCTTCTCCTCACCTCCACATTCGCCATTCGTCCACCTTTCCTTCAAAGCATTTGGTGGAGAGGCTGGAAGGTGGCCAATAACAAGACCTATGGCACATTACGTGAGGAGCATCTACGAATGCGAATATTCATCAACAATTACTTCTTCACT